CCCCCCCCCCCCCCCAATGTCAGCAGGCACCTCAGCTGAGGCCTGCCCAAAACCAAGTCCATCCTCCCCCCGAACCTGCTGCTCCTGTGTTATCTCCCTCAACAGTACCACCCAGGCACCAGGCCACCACGGACTGTTCTCCCCTGTGTTTCTCCTGCCTCAACTCCTGTCCCCCTGCCCCCTTCCCGGCCTCCCCAGGCCTGCCCGTCCGTGCTCCCCTGTCAGCTCCCCTCCACCAACCTTCTCTCTGAAACTGATCACACCACCTGCCTCCTTCAGGCCCTGACGGTTGCCGGCGGGATGAAGTCCAGATTCCTTCCTGGAACACAGTCCTGCCATATGCCCTCGGGCTGCTCCAGCCGGCCTCCCGCTAGCCCCTCGCCCTCCACTCCCAGGCCTGACCTTGTACAGCCTGAGCCACAAGCAGGCCCCGCTTCCCTGGGCGGGGATGCGGACTGCCTTCCCAGCCACCTGGGCCCCCTTCTTTTGGGGGGGTCCCTTCTTGGCATCCACCTGGCCCATTACAGCGGCTGTCCAGCCGCCCTTAGTCATTCTGGTTGGTTCACATGCTGCGCACTGACCGGCAGGCAACGCAGCCCCTCCCCCCACCTCTTCTGCGCTGCCTCCTGAACGGGAGCAGTTCCTCATCGAGGGGCCCTGCCCGCCAGAGCTCTGAGCTCAGCGGTAGCTCAGACCCAGCAGGATTCCCCACCGAGGAGGGAACAGGGAGCAGTCACGTGGCTAAAGAGCAGCAGTCAAGGCAGAAGGAGCTCGGGCGTGAGCGTCAGGCGAACTGTGCAAGGACAGTATTTTCTCAGGTTCAAGGAGGATACACTCAGCCAAGCTCACCCATGAGGGAGGCTCCTGGGGACAGCTGGGCCTCGAGTTGTGGGGCAGGGGCAGGAGCAGGAGGTCCATACCGCAGCAGGGAGACCAGCACAGGGGTAAGGGCGTAGACCTGTCCTGTCGGGAAGGGGACTCTGGCAGGGCCACAGTTGGGTGTTTAGCCAGACGAATCCAGCCACAGAATGACCAGGCCGCGGTGAGCAGGTGCGAACAGGTGAAGAAAGCCAGGAGGAGGAAGCACTGAGGATGCCAGAGAAGAGCTGGGGGCAGTGCTGGGGGAGGGGCAGGGGCATTGGGAGGTAGTTTTTAGCGCCAAGAAGGGGTCAGGCTGGGTTCAGGGCAAAGCAGGTGGGTGTTTCTGTTAGTGGGCTGTGACCTGCTGTGACCCACCCAGGGCGGGGAAAGGGGCAGCTCTGATACAACTGGGCGGGCCGGCGGCGGGCAGGTGGGTGTGCAGAAGGCGCACACTGATCCACGAAGGAATGGAACCTGAGCAGTTGTGAGGTCAACCACATTGATTCTTCAGGTGGGAAGGAAACGGCCTCCCTCTGGGCACTGGCCTGGGCCTATCAGCAAGGCCCTGGTGTCACTAGCAGCCGCCCGGCACTCTCAGATATAGGCCTGGGTGTTCTCCGTTTAGATATAAACAACATTCAAACCAGCGTCAGAGCCCCTTTGCGACCTGTCAAGACAAGAACGCCACTCCAGCCCCAGCCGGTGTGGCGCAGTGGATAGAGCGTCAGCCTGCGGACTGAAGGGTCCTGGGTTTGATTCTGGTCAAGAACACGTACCTCGGTTGCAGGATCCTCCCCAGCCCCGGCTCTGGTTGGGGTTCCTGCAGGAGGCAACCAATCGATGTGTTTCTCTCACATCAATGTTTCTGTCTGTCTTTCCCTCTCGCTCCACTCTCCCTAAAAATCAGTGGAAAAATATCCTCTGGTGAAGATTTAAAAAAAAAAAAGAAGCAGCCCACTCCATAATCACATCTGAACTCAGACAAAACATGAGCCCCGCCCAAGCCAGGAACACGGAGCGCCTTGGGCCTGTCTCCAGTCTGTCCTCCTCCCAGAGGCCTGTTGAGATACCCAGTCACCGAGTGGCTCCCCTTCCTGACAGCACCCAGTCCAGAGCAAAGCCCTGCTTCCTAAAGTCCTCCCAGGCGCCACTCCAGCCAAATCCTACTCAGGCCTTTCTAGCACCCCCTTCCTGTGACTCCCTGAGGTTCCTTCCCCATCACCTCGGTCTTCTCTCTGAGTACAGCCTAGATCAGTGATGGCGAACCTTTTGAGCTCGGCGTGTCAGCATTTTGAAAAACCCTAACTTAACTCTGGTGCCGTGTCACATATAGAAATTTTTTGATATTTGCAACCATAGTAAAACAGAGACTTATATTTTTTATATTTATTTTATATATTTAAATGCCATTTAACAAAGAAAAATCAACCAAAAAAATGAGTTCACGTGTCACCTCTGACACGCGTGTCATAGGTTCGCCATCACTGGCCTAGATCCAATGGGGGAGGGGATCAGAAAGACCCCCCTTGGGCAGGTGTGGAGAGAAAGGCTGCAGCAGAATGCGTGAGCAGGAGGCAGCCAAAGCAGGCCAGAGACGAGGCTGCCTGCAGCAAGCCCCATCCTTGACAGCTGGAAAAACATAGGAAAAACGGGCTTGTTCTGGGGGCCTGGGGGAGAGCCCAGGAACTTGACATGACTGTGTCTCGGAGCCCTCACCTGCAGGACGGCATTCATACTATCTGCCTGGATGGGAGGTAGAAGGAGGTATGGACAGAGGGCTTCAGGTTAAAGGTCCCTGTCCTCCAGCAACTTTATGCCTTGAAAAGATGGCTTTGCAAACCATCTTTGTTAACCCCACAAAGAACCCAAGCCAAATGGGAGCAAAGGTCCCCAAAGGCCTCGCCAAGCCAGCTGAGTCTAATGGCCAAATCTGAATGGGGACAAACTGCGCAAAAGCCAGTGACCCACAACCAGAGGGTCAGCATAGCAAGCAGGAAAACACTGAAGGTTTGCTCGCAGCAAATTCACGAGGAGCACAGACCCCGCATGGACACCAGGAGGCTCCTGTGACTCCTGCAGGTGAGACCTCCTGGAGCCAAGGGCCGTTCCAAAGCCACGCTGTCCCAGAGCTCAGACAGAAGAGCTGGACAGAGGACGCGGAAGCACAGCCCAGCCCAGGCTCGCTCCTCCCAACACGTGACCCAAATGAACGCTGATAACCTTGCTCTCCAAACTTCTGCTGTCCTATCCCAAACTCAACCCTGACATAACAACAACAACAACAAAGGTAAGAAAGTTGCAATGAGAGGAAATAAGAGTAGAGAGAGCTGGTGAGCCTGGAGAAGGTAAGTACAAAGAAAGGCCGAGGGCTCCAGCTCAGGTGCTGGGGACCCAGGGGGTCTCTACTGAGCCCTGCAGTCCTGGAGAGGCTGGAGGCAGAAGGAGGGTGGCTGGTGACCCCACAGCTCCAGCACCCATACCAGAAACCATGAGGCCGTCCTTGCTCTCGCTCCTGCCCAAGACCAGTCCACAGGTACCCACTAAACTTCCACCACCTCTGCCCACGTCTCACTCCCCTGGGTCAGAGCTGCCCTCGCAGCTTGCTCAGATGACTGGCTCCTTCCCCTTCAGCCCATTCCCTCAGCCCCTCCCTTAAGCCTTTCAAGGGCTTCCCAAGGCCCTTAGGATAAAAATCAACATCAGCCTGGGGCCGTAAGGCCTTACCACCACCTGGGCCGTGTGTCCTTCCCCCTGTGCCCCATCCCCTCCTCTGCCCCTTTAGTTCCTTCAGTGAGGCCACTGCCCAACAGCCTCTGCATTCCCACACCAGAGGGCCCTCCATGGCATCTCGCTCAGAACTTCCTCAGGGAAGGCTGCCCTGAGCTGGCCTATCCGGGTCCGACCCGCCCACGAGGCCCGCTCCCAGCAAAACGAGCAGCATTCATCAGCCTGGCCATTTGGCATTTACAGGTGATTACTCAGTTCACAGCTGCTCCCGCTACACTACGGTCAATAAGGCAGGGGCAGTGCCAGATTGTGACCAGCACTGAACCCCCGACTCCTAACCCAACGCCTGACACACAGTCAGTGCTCAATATTTATTTATTTATTTTTTTTATTTTTTTGAGGAAAGAAGCATGGTGCAAAGGGAAATAGAGAGGGTGTATCAGTCAGAGTTCTTATCTAGTCAAAGATTAGCTTGAAGGAATTGGCTCATACAAATTGAAAGATTGGCAAGTTCGAAATCTGTAGAACAAGCCAGCCGGCCGGAAACTCCGACAGGATTTGCAGGATGGTTGAGAAAGAATCCCTTCTTCCCTGAAACCCTCAGCGTGCTGCAGGTCAGGCCTGTGACTGGCTGGCTGAAGCCCACCCAGGTGAGCGTCGTCCTCTTTAAAGCCACGACTGTCGATGTCAATCACATCTACAAAATTCCTCACACCGACACCTGGGCTCCACGGCCCAGCCCAACTGACCCATAAAATGGAACCATCACAGCTGGTGAAGACAGCGTCAGCCCACGGAGAGGCCAACAGGGGGCAAGACTAGAGGGAGGAGAGGACTGAGGCTAAATAGGAAGCCGACCTCACCTGCTGGAGGAAGCCCAGCCGAGATGTTCTACAAAGAGCAGAGGCCTTCTCCGCTGAAGGGAGCTAGGCACTGGTTCCCAGGGCCACAGCGATTCAGCGGGGATTATAGTCCAGGGTGTCGGAGGAGGGTGGGGGCAAGCCCCCCGCCCCCATTGTGAGGTCCAGGTAGAATGCTCAGCTCAGACTGACCCCAGTCCTGGCTGACCTCCAACCTTGTCCTTGTCCCCAGCCTCCCACTAGGAGTGTGCCTCTGGCTTAAACCTGGACTTCACCATCCTCTTCTGTTGGAGAGCAGACGCCCGCAGAGCCCATGGAGATCCTGAAGACAGGGCCTCGCCTGACTCCCAAGGTCAGGCCCACAGAGTTGTCTGTGTAGGTAGCACTTAAAAAATGAAGCGCAACCAGGACTCAGAGGTCTGACTTCTTGGAACCTACGAGGAGTGTGGTTGGGTTCGTGAAGGACCACCATCAGGAAAATCCAAGGAGCCAGGGAACGGAGGTGTGGGTGCAGAGAGGGCCCCGCGGGGCATCTGGAAGAGGGGAGCTCGAGTTGCCAGAAATGGAAACTCCAAGTTACAGGGAGCCAGATGCCTGGACAAGGAAGCCCTGGGCTGGCAGTCAGAGACGGACTCTGAACACTGGGGTCAGGAGGAGGCATGGTCCTGTGTCCAGGTGTCCATAGAATGTTCCCAGGTGAAGGCTGACAGTTAACACCTGGGTGTGCCCAAGATCAGAAGGAAAGGCACCCTGGCCAGGAGGGAGGGTGATGAGTTTCCATTCAATAGAAATCCACTGGTTACCTACCTACACTGCACCAGGCCCTTTGCTGAATTCTGGGGAGTCCCACATCCCTGCCTTCAGCATCCAGAGAGTAAAAACAGCCTTAAAGAGCTAACCAGACAGAGCCAGGCAAGCGTTCCGACACGGAACACACCTCGGAGGAATCGCTGCCTGGAGGCCAGTGATTAGCTTGCCATGGGTGCGAGGAAGCTTCACAGAGGGGCCACCATGAGAGTGAAGTTGTCTGGACAGCCTCTGACCTCACAATACCCACTGGGCCAGCCTTGCAACTTGCAAACTCTGGCGCCCTCCTCCAGCCCGGGCAAGGCCCGGGGCCCTGGGCAGCCTCCAGGTGCAGTGCCCTCCGGTGGGCCGCGCCCTTCCCGCTGCCCTGGGGCATGTCTCTACTCACCAATTATGAGGGGCTTCGGCATCAGATCGAGAGGCTAGTGCGGGAAAACGAGGAACTGAAGAAGCTGGTGCGGCTCATTCGTGAGAATCACGAGCTTAAGTCGGCCATCAAGACGCAAGCAGGTGCCCTGGGCCGCAGCGGGTTAAGCAGTGGGCTTGGTGAGGCATCAACTGGACCTTCTCAACGCCAGGGTAACTATCAGAGGCCTGAAGCCAAGGAGAGCAGGGAGGGAAGGGTGAGGCCGCACGAAAGAGGAGAGACGGTGCTGCGGTCTCAGGAGTCGCGGGGAGAAGGGCATAGATCATAACACACAGGTGATTACTCAGTGGCCCCGCCAGGTGAGGGGAGGGTGAGGACACAGGACCCTTAGACTCAAAAGGCAAAACGAGGCACCTGGTGGGAGGAGCCCCAGCCCACACACCTGCCTCCCTTGAGCTGAACTTCCCAGCAGCTCCATACACTACGGAGTTCCCAGCTCTGGAATCCAAATGTCATGTCACTCACTCTCAGCCTCCCGTTCCTCTCCTCCATCCCTCCTCCTCAGCACCCCTGTCCCTCTCCCCCATTGCCCTCCCCTCAGAGATGGTCAGTAGGCGATGGACAACCCAAGTCCAGAAGCCAAGGACAGAAACTAGGACGGAAGCTGGAGGTTTGGGACTTGGTGCGGGACAGAACCCTGGGGCTGGAGATTTCCAGAGTCGGGTGAGACAGGAACGGGCAAAGAAGTTACAGGTGTTTTCAGGGGAGCAGTTGCAGTGATGATCTGTGGAGTTCAACCTGGATTTTAGGGACTGAGCTGGGAGGGCACTCCGAGGCCAGGAGACCAAAGCGGCCGCAGCGCAAGCTGAATGTGGTGGGAGGAAGGAGGCAGGCGCCAGACGAATGGAAAACTGTGGGCAGAAAGTGGCTGGCGTTGAAGAGTCAGGAGAGAGGATTTCTGGGGGTGCAAGATCTCGGGGTGCGGCAACAGGTGTCAGTGGCCGTCAGGGTGTTGGTAATGGTTGTACAGGGCTAGGAGGTGATGAAATGCCGGCAGGCGGTTGTCACATCCACACCTTACAACAGCCTTCTTGCCCTGCACCCTGCCTGCTGGGGCCCCGCTCTGTTCACTCAGGTGTGACATCATCTCCTTTCCCGGGAGGACTCTGCTCTTCCCGTCTCTGCCCTGAAGCCTCCTCTACAGCCTCCTTGGTGGTGGGCCTGACACCGCTGTCTATTGTAGAAAAGGCACAGGTGGCATCCTAGGTGCCACATCCTCTGACCTCTGCACCCATTTGGGACGGCAACGCTTCTCTTTCTGAGTTCCAAGAGCACCTGGAGCCCCCCTGGCTCAGCGTAACCACGGCTGCTTCCAGGAGGCTCTGGGCCCTCCACCCTCAGCCAGCCTGCCCACTGCAGGCCTCCACCCTCTGCCAGGAGTGGAGACCCCCAGAGGCTCTGGCAGGCCCAGTGAGTCCCTGGAACGCAGCTTGCTCCAAACTCGACACATTTCTGGTTCAGACCTTGTCCTTCCCACCAGGATGCTAGAGCCCTCGCATCTGCTCCTCCCCGCACTGTTTCAGCTCCAAGCCTTCTCTCCTTTGCTCTGGAAAAGCTACCACCGCTGGGTTCCCTGCCATCCACCCGGGCTGTGGCACGGGACCCGTCTAACAGTCCCCACTGACTGACCACACGCACACAGGCCCCTTTGTTTGAAAGGTTCAGCTGCCACTAACCGCACAGGGAGGTACAAGGCTGAAGAAATCTCAGTTTAAAAAACTAGATTCTGGTTTCCCACCCCCAGGCTAACCAAGCAAGCCTTCTCCTCTTAGGTTTGATTCTTTTCATTCTTTTCTTAAATATGGAACGCTTCACGAATTTGCGTGTCATCTTGCGCAGGGGCCATGCTGATCTTCTCTGTATCGTTCCAATTTTAGTATCTGTGCTGCTGAAGCAAGCACTTAGGTTTGATTCTTAATAAAATCCGGGACCACTTCTGGTTTTCCAGCTCCTGAAGGGTCAGGCGTAGGGGGCCAGGAAAGGCTTTCCGGAGGTGAGCCCAGTCAGCTAGTGGTGAAGGGGGCAGGGGACATTCCAGGAGGAGGAGCAACTTGTGGAAGGTCTGGCCTTGGAGGTGCAGGAATGAGAAGTAGATCAGTGGGGCGAAAGCCCAGCCTCTGTGTGTGTGTGTGTGTGTTGTGTATTGAGTGTGTGGTCTGCGTGTGAGAGGGTACGGGTGTGGGTATTGATTGGGGGGAGGTAATGAGCATGTGTGATGTGAATCACCTGTTGTCTCAGCCATTAGCACATGTATGCAAGCATGTGAATGTGGTGTGCAAGTGTGTGTGATCTGAATGTGCAATGTATAGTGTGATGTGTATGTGTATTGTGTGGCATGTGTCTGCAGTGTGTGGGGCAGGTATGTGACTGGGGTGTGTGGTACAGGTGTATATGAGAATGTGTGCGTGTGTGTGAGCGTGTGGTATGTGCACCTTGAGGGAGTTGGGAGTGTGGGAAAGTGTGCGTGCTATGAGTACGTGAGAGTGCACTGTGTGTGGTGTGTGTGACTGTTTTGAGTTGTGCGATAATGTGTGAATGTGTGTTTTTTGTGTGTGATATGTATGAAGGTGTGTGCGCTAATGTGTGTGATGTGTGTGTGTGTTGGGGCCAACAAGAGGTGAACAATGCAGGCAGAGAGGTCAGCGGGCATCAGTTGCCAAGGACTTCAGTGCCACACTAAGGGGCTCGGACTTGTTCCTAAAGGCAACATGCCAACGCCGGTGATGTTTAAGGGAGAGTAGTCATGTTTGTGCTTCAGAAAGATCATCCCGGCTGCTGTGGGGAAATGGAATCAAGGGAGACAAGAGTGAGGCAGGGAGAAGGGTTAGGCTGGGGCTGTGCAATCGTCCAGGTGAGAGAGGAGGGCGTGAACTAGCAGTGAAGAAAATCGATTCAAGTTATTTTGTAAGAAAACTAGCTGCTTGGATGTGAGGCATGAAAAAGAGGGAGTCCAGAATGTTCTGTGGCTCCAGCTGGGGCGGCTCAGTGGCCGATGGCGCCACTCCTGAGACTGCAGACCCCTCCATGCCCATGCCCAAGCCCAGCCAACCCCACCCCAAGCCTAAGCCTAACCCTTGAGTTGCCTCCGAGGCTCTTTCTGGGCACTGCCTTGCCGTTTTCCTTGCGACTGGCCTTCCTCATGACTGGCCTTCCTCGCGGGGTCAAGCTCTTACTCCCGATTTGCTCTAGGGAACTTGGCCCTCAATTCCTCTTTCTGGGCCCCCCTTCTCTGGCCCTGTCCTCTTGTGCACATCTCTCCCTCCTACACCCTCCAGGCAGAGCTCTAGCCCACCCCCATTTAGGAAGAATGGGGGGATGGGGAGTGCTTGTGGGTGCTCACAGCACACGTGCCAGCTTCCCCTCCCTCAGCCCAGATGGGAAGAACAGGGGTGAGAGCTGCAGGGGGGCGGGGGGCAGCTCTTCCCAAGCGACCACATTGTGGCACCAAACTCCAGGTAAAAAATCCTCAACCAAACCCTGACCTTTCAGGTTGCTGCGAAGGTGAATTGGTCAGGTAGGAAGCTAGGCCACCATGTAACTCGTGGTTAGCTCCGTGAGTAACTCTGCATTATGTAGACTGTAGTGTGCGGTCCCGTCTGTGCTCTGGCCCGGGTGAGCTTGGCAGCAGGACCCGCGGTTTGGGGGGAAGAGCATGAGGTCTGTGTGGCACACACTGACTTTCCGACATTCGCGGGACCCCATGGGGCGCGTGTGGACCTGAGCTCGGGGGAGAGAGAGGTCAGGGCCAGAGAGACTCAGGGAGACCCTCTGAGGAGGAGCACAGTGAGGGCAGACGGAGGAGCAGGTCCCAGTCAGGGCAGGTGGAAGAGCCGGCGAAGAGCACGAGGGAGCCCAGCGGAGGGTGCGAGGCCAGGGAAGCCGAGGGGCACTCCCTAGGGGCATCGTCAGCAAAAGGAGGGCTGAGGGCAGAGGCGGGGCCGGCGGGGAGCGTGCTGATGGCCGTCCTTCGGCTCTGTGGACAGAGCATCTGCCTGCGGACCCAAGGCCCTGGTCCGCATGCGCAGGAGGCTGCGATGGACCCGTTTCTCTCAGTCCACGTCGATTTCTGTCTTTCCCTCTCCCACTGTCTCCAAAGCTCAATGGGAGACATCCTGAGTGAGGACTGACAGAGGAAGAAGAAAACACTCCCTCAGGGCTCTTATGGCCTTGTCCGCGATGAGGTGGGAGAGCCCGGAGGGAGGGGAGGAGGAGAAACAGGAGAAGGGCTGGCGGTCACGGGTTGCGGGGCATGCAGAGCTGCTCTGCAGGAGGCAGACACACCCGAGTTTGCTGGTTTGGGGAGCAGGAGCCAGGGCGCCAGGTGCGAGCCCAGGCCCGGAAGCACGACCGCTTTCCCCAAAAATGTCTCTCAGAGCTGAGAGCAAGGTGGGGGCAGGCAGGGCGGGAAGGGGGTGGGGGCAGAGGAAGGGGGGAGCCTGTGCCGAGGCCCAAAGGGGCGCATCTGCGGGTCCCAGGGCAGCGCCTCCTTCTCCGCCTTCTCCCGAAGCATTTGGAGGGGGAGCCCGTGCTGAGGGGGCTCAGCAAGAGCTGGGGGTGGAGGGGCCCCTGGAAACACTCTCCCCTCAGTATCTTCCTCCCTGGGCCCCTCCCTCAGGACCCCCATCTCCCCTCAGGACTGTCTCCCCTCAGGACCCCCATCTCCCCTCAGGACCGTCTCCCCTCAGAACTCCCATCTCCCCTCAAGACCGTTTCCCCTCAGGACTATCTCCCCTCAGGACAGTCTCCCCTCAGTACCCCCATCTCCCCTCAGGACCGTCTCCTCCCCTCAGGACAGGCTCCCCGCAGGGCCCCCATCTCCCCTCAGGACCGTCTCCCCTCAGGACCCCCATCTCCCCTCAGGACCTTCTCCCCTCGGGACCCCCGACTCCCCTCAGGACCTCCCCTCCCCTCAGGACCGTCTCCCCTCAGGACTGTCTCCCCTCAGAACCCCCATCTCCCCTCAGGACGACCGTCTACCCTCAGGACCTTCTCCCCTCTGACCGCCCCTGCCCCTTCTCCCTTGCCCCCCTTCCGCTGCCTCAGCCCCCTCAGAACTTGGCTAGAGCCGCCTTTGCTCACTGTCTCCCCTCAGGACCCCCATCTCCCCTCAGGACCCCCATCTCCCCTCAGGACCCCCATCTCCCCTCAGGACAGTCTCCCCTCCCAATTTGGT